TGATTCTGTAGGCGTGGGGTGAGGTTGAAGAATTTGCATTTCAAAGATCCCAGGTGATAATGCTGCTGCCTGGCCACATTGAGAATCATTTCTCTAGAGCCTGGTTCTCAGAATCTGTATGTGGCCTAGGAATCTGGAAGTAAAGTGAATTTATTGAGTACATGTGCAAGTTGGATGAAATGTATCTAGCTGCAAGAAAAAAAGAGTATTAGAAAGAATACAGGATTGTGAAAGTAAGGAAAAATATTAAAGGGAATATACTGTTTTAATTTTTTAATTAATGGTTTTTGTAGTCCTGAGGAAATATGAAAACAACAAAAATATTAAAAGGAATGTGGCATCTTTAAAGGAGGATAAAAGATAAAGGCCTTAGGGGAATCCCTGATAGTCCAGTGGTTAGGACTCTGTGCTTTCACTGCCAAGCGTGGGGGTTCAATCAGAAGCTGCACAGCATGGCCAAAAAGAGAAAAGTCATTGTGATATTACTAGTAGACAGCAAACTTGGCTCCATATTCCATGTGATGTTGAAAAGAATGCTGGCTTCCCACCAAGAGACTTGGGTCAAGCCCCAGCTTTATCACTGGCTGGTTTCAAGATGCTGTGTACCTTTCTGACCTCCATCTCTCCTCTTTCAGAAGAAGATAAAAGTTCTCTTTGAAAAACTCTCTTTCAAAAAAATTTTATAGAGCCTCTTCATTGTTTCATAAAACATAATGTGAAAGTGCTGTGCCATAAGGAAGCAAAATTTTCCACCCCAAAAAGTGTCTCCATGGCATGAAAATTCATTTAGGCTGATTATTTTTAAGGCCCAAAAGACTCAGGAAGAACCTTTAATCTACCTCCCAGTTGCCTAAAACAATGTGGATAGTGAGACCTTGTTTCCAGAAGGGAGCTATTACCATCAATATTATAGTATGAAACTAAGCTTGTAGACTGGCAGGAACTTAGCAGAGTCTGTTTGTTAGAATTGCACTCTGTATCCACAGGGTCCAGGGAACATTTATTTACCAAACATTTGCTTTTCCATCTCCATGTGAATTGCCTTCCTCACCTTTGAAGTCCCAAGCCACTACCTCCAACATCCTCTTTTGTCTTTAGCTGATGATGAGGGCTTTAGACATTTTGGCGAGTTACAATTTTCCTGGGTCTCTCCCATGTAAACATATTACTAAACCTTTTTTTTTTAAAACCCTGTTAATTTGACTCATATCAATCTAATTCTTAGAAGAGCCTGAAGAACTTAAAAGGGTAGAGGAAAATTTATTTCTCCCTGACAGTACTTTAAAAGATATAAAATCTCATATAATTACAACTTATTTTTTTACCTTGAAGTTTTTTTTTTCAGGAACTTCTTGATGGTCCAGTAGTTAGGGCTCCATGATTTCATTCCTGGGGACCCAGGTTAAAATCCCTGGTTGGTGAACTAAGATCCTACAAGCCACATGGCTTCAGTTCAATTCAGTTCAGTTCAGTTGCTCAGTCATGTCCAATTCTTTGCGACCCCATGAATTGCAGCACACCAGGCCTCCCTGTCCATCACCAACTCCCGGAGTTTACTCAAACTCATGCCCATTGAGTCGGTGATGCCATCCAGCCATCTCCTCCAGTGTCGTCCCCTTCTCCTGCCCCCAATCCCTCCCAGCATCAGGGTCTTTTCCAATGAGTCAACTCTTCTCATGAGGTGGCCAAAGTACTGGAGTTTCAGCTTTAGCATCAGTCCATCCAATGAACACCCAGGACTGATCTCCTTTAGGATGGACTGGTTGGACCTCCTTGTAGTCCAAGGGACTCTCAAGAGTCTTCTCCAACACAGTTCAAAAGGATCAATTCTTCGGCGCTCAGCTTTCTTCACAGTCCAACTCTCACATCCATACATGACCACTGGAAAAACTATAGCCTTGACCAGATGGACCTTTGTTGGCAAAGTAATGTCTCTACTTTTTAATATGCTATCTAGGTTGGCCATAACTTTCCTTCCAAGGAGTAAGCGTCTTTTAATTTCATGGGTGCAATCACCATCTGCAGTGATTTTGGAGCCCCAAAAAGTAAAGTCTGACACTGTTTCCACTGTCTCCCCATCTATTTCTCATGAGGTGATGGGACCAGATGCCATGATCTTCGTTTTCTGAATGTTAAGCTTTAAGTAAACTTTTTCACTCTCCTCTTTCACTTTCATCAAGAAGCTTTTCAGTTCCTCTTCACTTTCTGCCATAAGGGTGGTGTCATCTGCATATCTGAGGTTATTGATATTTCTCCCGGCAATCTTGATTCCAGCTTGTGCTTCTTCCAGCCCAGCGTTTCTCATGATATACTCTGCATAGAAGTTAAATAAGCAGGGTGACAATATACAGCCTTAACGTACTCCTTTTCCTATTTGGATCCAGCCTGTTGTTCCGTGTCCAGTTCTAACTGTTGCTTCCTGACCTGCATACAGGTTTCTCAAGAGGCAGGTCAGGTGGTCTGGTATTCCCATCTCTTTCAGAATTTCCCACAGTTTATTGTGATCCACACAGTCGAAGGCTTTGGCATAGTCAATAAAGCAGAAATAGATGTTTTTCTGGAACTCTCTTGCTTTTTCGATGATCCAGTGGATATTGGCAATTGGATCTCTGGTTCCTCTGCCTTTTCTAAAACCAGCTTGAACATCTGGAAGTTCTCGGTTCACGTATTGCTGAAGACTGGCTTGGAGAATTTTGAGCATTACTTTACTAGTGTGTGAGATGAGTGCAATTGTGTGGTAGTTTGAGCATTCTTTGGGATTGCCTTTCTTAGGGATTGGAATGAAAACTGACCTTTTCCAGTCCTGTGGCCACTGCTGAGTTTTCCAGATTTGCTGGCATATGGCTTGGCCCCCTCCAAAAAAAATTTTTTTTCAAGAGTTACTCATCATAATGGACATGCTTCCAATGTGTGTATAATATTCAAGCTCAATATCATTCTCTTTCCTATGAACATAATCACCAAATCGGTCTTCCTAACTTTAAATGTGTTATCTTTCACTTCCATCAATTTCCAGTTCTCTGGAATTTTCTGCTCAGGAGGAAATCTCTATGTAGTATTTCTGGACCTGTCTTTTTGTTGCAGGAAGGGAGATCCCTTGCAGGGTCCAAGAGTGGGTTCTTGTCTAACACTCAGAAGTGAATTGTCTGAGGAGACACAAATGCTGACAGAGCAAGAGACTTTATTGGGAAGGGCTGCCCCGGTTATGAGCAAGAGAGTGAGGGAACCTAGGACTGCTCTGCCACATGGCTCCCAATCTCAGTCTTGGGTTTTATGGGGATGGGATTAATTTCCTGGTCATCTCTGGCCAATCATTCTGACTTTGGGTCCTTCCTACTGGTGCACACATTGCTCAGCCAAGATGGATTCCATCAAGGAAGATTTTGAGAGGGTGATAGGACATGTGGTATCTCCTTTTGACCTTTTCCCAACTCTTCCAGTTGGTGGTGGCTTGTTAGTTCTGTGTTCCTAACTTCCTGGCTTTAATAACTCATGCAAGAGGTTACTATCGTGCCTGACCACTGGTTTCAGTCAGTGTTTCCCCTACATTTTAGCCAAAACTCAGTGGTGTCTAGAGAGAACACAGCCTCTAGCTGAATATCTGTGGCAGCTACTCTGGTAAACAGATGGGAGAAAATCGAATGACAGAAGCAGTAAGACCAACAATTTTTCATTTAATCCTTGCATAGGAAGCACCACAGTCTCTGGGTATGGTGATCTTTGGGAAGCAAGTTTGGAGCCTCAGCTTGTCACATATGTCATACTTATTTGCTCAGTGTGTGAAACTGAAGCTAGCTGGATCTGTTGCTCTGAAAATAGTTCATTCAGATCTGCCCATTCACTTTTCCTTCAAAGCTCCTTTCACATTTGCCGTCCATAATGATGCTAAGGTGTAGAACCAGAGCCCTAGTGTTCCTGCAAACATTCCCCCCTCCCCCACTGCTTCTAAAGTGTATGCAGAATAGTCAGAATCTTAGACAACGGTGGAAAAAGAACTGAGCAAGCCCAGTGGCCGTGTTCCTGCCTCTCCTTCCGCCATCCAATCAGCTCCTTACAGTGAGGGCAGGAAGTTCACTCTCCTTTTTTCCAAATTCATAAGATTTGATTCCTTGCTTTTTTGAGCTTAAGAAAGTAGGGGAGGACAAGCCCTTCAAGGGATCCTTGGAAAAGCAGGTTGTGAAATCCAGTCTCATCTGCAGCTCTCCCCTTCCATCAAGAACCTTTGCTGCTTCTTTTCTGGATGCCTGCCTCATCTTGTCTCACTGAATTCCCACTTCCATGCACACTGTTATCACTGTTAGCTAACAAGAAAGGCTTCCTCATGAAAATGTCCAGATTTGTAGACTTGGGCCCTGGGGGTGTGAACAGGGAGGGGCAGGGCCTTGAAGGGGCAGCTGCCTGGGTTGATTCCAGTTCTGCTTGATGTTGGGTGAATTATCTAATCACTCAGGCTCTGAGTTTTTCATCTGGATGATGGAGACCATAAAGATACCTATCTCGAGTGCTGTTGTGTATGTAAAATGAGACATTGCACAAAATCAGAGCTCAATGACCTTGGTCATTATGATCGTTAAGGAGCATGGCTGATGATTTTTAAGAGAGGCTGTGATTTTAGCACCTTGGCATGCTGTTCTTGGCAGGATAGAGACAACTATGTCCAGGAAATGGAGAAGTCCAGGAATGGCCTTTGCAATGGCTCAGCTAGACCCAGGCAATAACATGCCAACTCGTTTTCTCCAGCTCCCTCTACTGCAGCTTGGAAATCTGGGAACCGCACTTCCTTCCATGGTTCAAGTAGATCTGACGTGCAGTTCGGTTCAGTTCAGTCGCTCAGTTGTGCCTGACTCTTCACAGCCCCACGGACTGCAGCACACCAAGCACCCCTGTCCACCACCAACTCCCAGAGCTTGCTCAGACTCATGTCCGTCGAGTCGGTGATGCCGCCTCTGGCAAAGGGCTCTCTCCAGAGACAGTAATGTTTCTCCTTCTCTTTTTTGCAGACCTCAGAGGATGAGCCTTCTGAAAAGGATGCCCTGCAGCCTGGTCGCAACATTGTGGCGGCTGGCTATGCACTCTACGGAAGTGCAACCTTAGTGGCTCTGTCCACGGGGCAAGGAGTGGACCTCTTCATGCTGGACCCAGTAGGTACCTGGTGATGAAATGAGTCTTTGTGCTTTCATTCCTGTCCCCTGGGATAATTTACTGGTTATTCCTAATACTTGCTTTGGGGGCCAGAGAGTCTGGTTTGGGGGACCAACAGCATTATCTGAAAACATTAAGATCTCTGTTCATGGGAGGGTACTTGAGGGGTTCTACGTGGTCAAATGTATCACTTATGTCCTGTTTGTAAAGAATTTATTATCAAAAAAATATATTCAGCTTCTGTGGTTTGTGGAACTACAATGACTTAAGAATCTCAATGCTGCCAATTTCCAGACAGAAACAGATTCTTTTTATTAGTTTGTTTGTTTTTGGCCGCTTTGTGCAACATGCAGTGTCTTAGTTCCCTGACCAGGGATCCAAATGGTGACCCTACATTGGAAAGGTAGACTATTAACCTCTGAACCACCAAGGAAGTCCCAAACATGGATTCTTTACAGTAGGACCATCTGGTAGGATTTTATGTGATAATGGTTATGCTCTGTAATCTGTGCTGTCTGGTATGGTGGCCACTAGCCTTTTGTGACCACTGAACATTTGCAATGAGTTAGTGTGACTGAGAAAGTGGGTTTTTACATCTTATTTAATTTTAATTAATTTAAATAGCTACACGTGACTACTGGACTACTGGTACCCTATTGGACACCAGTTTGGAGGATGTCCCCTAATATACATGTTCTTTCCAAAAGGAGTCGTCACTGGTATAAAACTGTTTTATCAGAAACTGTGTTATTCTCCACACTTTCCACAATGATAAAATAGCAGTAGCAGAAGAGGAAGAAGCACAACCTCTGGGTAGATGAAAAATATAACACAGTGCTGACTGGAAGAAGTAATTGAATAAAGACACAGAGTTCAAAAACAAAGATTGAGCCTTCATGGCAAATGTACACTAAAAATGTTCAGGAGATCAACTGTTCTTAAAATTTTTCATGTCAGTGGAAAATACTAAAAACAATAAATAAATTTACTACACATACGTTTACTTGCTAACTATGAAACTCTTTTGTAATGCTATGATCAAGCTAATTCCATCATTTCACAGAAGTGAGGTGTCTATTCTGAAAATAAATGATTTTGGGGGGCCTCTAGAATGAAATGGCAACCCACTCCAGTATTCTTGCCTGGAAAATCCCAGAGACGGGGGAGCCTAGTGGTCTGCCGTCTATGGGGTCACAGAGAGTCTGACACGACTGAAGCGACTTAGCAGCAGCAGCAGCTAGAATGAAAGATTCATTTCAGTTCAGTTCAGTCTCTCAGTCATGTCTGACTCTTTGCGACCCATGGACTGCAGCATGCCAGGCCTCCCTATCCATCAACAACTCCTGGAGCTTACTCAAACTCATGTCCATATAGTTGGTGATAGTTGGTGATGCTATCCAACTATCTCATTCTCTGTTGTCCCCTTCTCTTCCTGCCTTCAATCTTTCCCAGCATCAGGGTCTTTTCCAAAGAGTCAGGTCTTCACATCAGGTAGCCAAAGTATTAGAGTACAGCTTCAGCATCAGTCTTTCCAGTGAATATTCAGGGCTGACTTTCCTTTAGGATGGACTGGTTGGTTCTCCTTGCAGACCAAGGGACTCTCAAGAGTCTTCTCCAACACCACAGTTCAAAAGCATCAATTCTTAGGTGCTCAGCTTTCTTTATAGTGCAACTCTCATATCCATACATGACTACTGGAAAAACCATAGTTTTGACTAGATGGACCTTTGTTGGCAAAGTAATGTCTTTGCTTTGTAATATGCTGTCTAGGTTGGTCATAGCTTTTCATCCAATGAGCAAGCATCTTTTAATTTCATGGCTGCAGTCAGCATCTGCAGTGATTTTGGAGCCCCCCAAAGTAAAATCTCACTGTTTCCATTGTTTCCCCATCTATTTGCCATGAAGTGATGGGACCTGATGCCATGATCTTAGTTTTCTGAATGTTGAGTTTTAAGCCAACTGTTTCACTCTCCTCTTTCACTTTCATTAAGAGGCTCTTTAGTTCACACTGCTTATTTAACTTATATGCAGAGTACAGCATGAGAAATGCTTGGCTGGATGAAGCACAAGCTGGAATTAAGATTGCTGGGAGAAATATCAATAACCTCAGATATGAAGATGACACCATCCTTGTGGCAGAAAGTGAAGAAGAACTAAAGAGCCTCTTGATGAAAGAATGAAAGATTAATTTTAATAAACATATAAAATCTAAAAAAAAAACATGTTCAGGAGAAATTTTTTACAATATGTGTAACTTAAAGAATTTCTCTTTTAAATGCTGGAGACTTTGCCTATCACTTGTGAACTCCTTTGACAAATATAATCAGGTCTTGTGAAAACTCAGATAATTTTGGTCAAAGCCCATTTCAAAGTTTCCAGTATTCCATGAATCAAAAGCAGGTGTTCAGTATTTCAATTTAATTTGAAATTACAGATGTTTATTGAGAACTTCCAGATGTTCAAGCTGGTTTTAGGAAAGGTAGAGGAACCAGAGATCAAATTGCCAACACCCACTGGATCATCGAAAAAGCAAGAGAGTTCCAGAAAAACATCTATTTTTGCTTTATTGACTATGTCAAAGCCTTTGACTGTGTAGATCACAATAAACTGTGGAGAATTCTGAAAGAGATGGAAAGACCAGACCACCTGACCTGCCTCTTGAGAAATCTGTATGTAGGTTAGGAAGGAACAGTTAGAACTGGACACGGAACAACAGACTGGTACCAAATAGGAAAAGGAGTACATCAAGGCTGTATATTGTCACCCTGCTTATTTAACTGATATGCAGAGTACATCATGAGAAACACTGGGCTGGATGAAGCACAAGCTGGAATCAAGATTGTTGGGAGAAATATCAATAACCTCAGATGTGCAGATGACACCACCCTTATGGCAGAAAGTGAAGAACTAAAGAGCCTCTTGATGAAAGTGAAAGAGGAGAGTGAAAAAGTTGGCTTAAAAAACTAGGATCATAGCATCTGGTCCCATCACTTCATGGCAAATAGATGGGGAAACAGTGGAAATAGTGGCTAACTTTATTTTTGGGGTCTCCAAAATCATTGCAGATGCTGACTGCAGCCATGAAATTAAAAGACGCTTACTCCTTGGAAGAAAAGTTATGACCAACCTAGACAGAATGTTAAAAAGTAGAGCCATTACTTTGCCAACAAAGGTCCATCTAGTCAAGCCTATGGTTCTTCCAGTAGTCACGTATGGATGTGAGAGTTGGACTATAAAGAAAGCTGAGCACTGAAGAATTGATGCTTTTGAACTGTGGTGTTGGAGAAGACTCTTGAGAGTCCCTTGGACTGCAAGGAGATCCAACCAGTCCATCCTAAAGGAGATCAGTCCTGAGTGTTCATTGGAAGGACTGATGTTGAAGCTGAAACTCCAATACTTTGGCCACCTCATGTGAAGAGCTAAGTCATTGGAAGAGACCCTGATGTTGGGAAATATTGAAAGCAAGAGGAGAAGGGGACAACAGAGGATGAGATGGTTGGATGGCATCACTGACTCAATGGACATGAGTTTGAGTGGATCCCAGGAGTTGATGATGGACAGGGAGGCCTGACATGCTGCAGTCTGTGGGGTTGCAAAGAGTTGGACATGACTGAGCAACTGAACTGATTGAGCATCCAGTGAGTCCTCAGATACCATTCTAGGCAGTGGAGGGAGATAACACACTGGTCAAACAGAAATTGTCTGTCAGGAGTTTACATGCTGATGCATGCGAGAGCACACAGCTCTGGTGATGGTGCCTGTGGGTGTATCACATAGTTCGCTAATGTGCACTGAGGCTCAAGGTCTAGTGAATGTCGACTCTGTCTGCCATCTTGGACCTATTTGGTTCTAGTCAGTTTATTCTGTGTCCTCGTATTATGTCATTCTTTTAAAGACTGTGCCCTGTCCACTTACCTACTGTATCAATTGTCACACGCTCCCTGCTGAGCTCTCTTTATTAGCCTGAAAAACCCACAAAGGACATTTGAACAAGAACCCTCTGTATGAAGCTTAGGACCTGTCTGAGAGGTTGAAACAGCATATGGCACTTGTTACAGGTAGAAAACCGTGGAGGGTGGCCTGCACGTTATTCAGGCAGGGCCTCACAAGACAGGGTTCCTTGATGGGGCAACCAGAGCCTCCCTAATCTGTGAGTTTGCAGGGCTGGTAATTTGATTTTGTCAGAGCACAAATTTTGTTCAGGTACAGAGGGATTACCTCACTTAACCAAACCCTCAACTGTGGTCTAAGCCACAAATGAGAGGTATTTGTTTACATATGACAGATATAATTTCCAAATGGCAGGGATATGGTGCCTGATCATCAGGTGCCCTCTTGTCCAAGTTGTGGAAGGCCATTTGTATGCACGGTGGGTGCTAGTGATCACAGTCAGAACAAAGGTATATATTTTCCAGGTTGGAGTAAGACTCCACAACCATCTTCATCCCACAATAGAGAACAACTCGCCAGGGGCCTGAGTGTCCACATTCCCAGCCCTGGGGTGGATAAACAAGTGAAGACATTATTTAGACAACAGTTGTGTATCTGTCTTGATCTTTGTGGTGCTGGAGAATACCCTTGAGAGTCCCTTGGACAGCAAAGAGATCAAACCAGTCAATCCTAAAGGAAATCAACTCTAAATATTCATTGGAAGGACTGATGCTGAAGCTGAAGCTCCAATACTTTGGCCCCCTGATGCGAAGAGCTGACTCATTGAAAAAGACCCTGATGCTGAGAAAGACAGATGGCAGGAAGAGAAGGGGATGACAGAGGATGAGATGGTTAGATGGCATCACCGACTCAATGGCCATGAGTTTAAGCAGGCTCCGGGAGATGGTGATGGACAGGGAAACCTGGTGTGCTGCAGTCCATGGGGTCGCAAAGCGTCAGACACGACTGAGTGACTGAACTAAAAGAGTCAAGGATCTTGGCTTAACTAAGTAAAGGGTGTTATTGCATTAACGGGAAAGCTGAGGCCCCAGGTTAGAGATAGGCAGGTCTAGGAGACAGGATTCCCAGGACCAGTCCCACAGCACTGCCCCTGGTCTGGACACCACCCATGATGCTGTATCTCTCACTCAGGTTTCAAATGCCAGGGAGGAGTAATTATTTTGCCAGGCTAAGTCAGGTACTTGACCTTGGGCTAGGGGAGGTCCAGCTTAGAGTCTTTCTAGACTGGCATCCATTAGGAAGAGTTAATTATTCAAAGGAAGTTCAGGTGCTTTTAAAAAGTGAAACTCCACGCTGGGCTACTCCAAAGCAACAAATGTTTAGAGCGGGTTATTAAAGTTCATGATCCAGAGACTGTCAAGAACTTCCCTAAGAAGCTGGGTTTACTAAGCTTGGGAGAAGGCATTCTAGAAGAATCGTGAGGCCTCGTGTTGAGAGGGTGTTCAGTTCAGTTCAGTTGCTCAATTGTGTCCAACTCTTTGCGACCCCATGGACTGCAGCATGCCAAGCCTCCTGTCCATCACCAACTCCAAGAGCTTGCTCAAACTCATGTCCATTGAGTTGGTGATGCCATTCAACTGTCTCATTCAGATGAGAGAGGAGGTTGTCATGGTCTTATTATATATAGAACACGGGCTTTTGCTTGATGATTCTAAGGAAGGTTTGAAAAAGAGAGGGTCAATTCTGGATTGGGTATTGTCTAGATGTGGGTGCAATTAATGATTTTGTATCTCAGTTTTTATCTAGGAGGTGGGAAGGTTAAAGTGAGGGTGAAGATTCATTGGTAAAAAAGTAGTCAGTACTCACATGTCACAGAAGAGAAGCGTGTTTGGTTCTTTTTGCGGTTGAGTATCCTTGTTATTGTCTTATTTCAGACACAGTCAGCGTAGCCTTGTCTCTTTGTCAGAGTGTTGTCAGTGTTCGTTAGGAATCTTCTAGCTGTGAGCTGTCATCTTAGGGGATTTTTCCTTTCTCAGTCTTCAAGGTTTAATCAGAACTGATTAGATTTCCAGGTCTTGATTTCCTTCCTAGTGATTTAGTGAGACATCGAGCCTTTCAAAGTGAATTTGCAGCTAGCTAATTGCCACCCTAGAGATGAGACCACCAGTTCTCAGGTAAAGAGATACCAGAGGGATGCCCTGCAGAAAGGGACCAGGTGGCTATAGGGAGACTTGGCACTTTCCTTAGTAATTCTGAGGATGAAAATAAATTTTATCAATGATTCTTCATGCCAAGTGAATACAGTTTCTGATTGAAGGGATATCCTCTTTACCCTGTATAAGAATACTTGTGGTACAAGGAACTTTGCTCTTTTTTGTTCTTTTTTTTTTGCTGTGAAGTGCAGCTTTCAGGATCCCCACTAGGGATCAAACCCACGCCCCCTGCATTGGAAACATGGAGTCTTAACCACTGGACCACTAGGGAAGTCCCTAGGGATGCAAGGAAATTTGAATGGCTTCCAAGATTGAGTCATTAAGATAAAATAACTGGACCACAAACTAGTGGTCTAATTACATCCCCACTTTCATGACAAATCCCATCTGTGTAACTTCTTCCTCTCATTGTTGATGGCCCAAATCTTCCTGAAAACGTTAAGGATTAACTGGGGATGAGAACTTGAGGGGATAAATACAGCTAGGTTCTTTACAAATGAGTAGTCTAGCTACAGTGAGAGTTACGAGGGAAATTTTCCTTCTTATTCCTTTGAATTATTTTATTTTTTGTTATATTACAGCTTGTGCTACCTGTGCAGGCTCCACATTGTCCCTGTTCTTTGTAAGTCTCATAAAAACATCACTGGACAGGCTACAAGAGGACCTCGCTACCCCCGGGTCCTTCCAGCAGGTCCACCTCAGTTATTCTCTGGTTATTGGAGTGTGTGCTATTGACTTCTGTTTCCTGATATCTCTCTTCTTCCTGGTATTTCCCTTCACCTTTCTAGGCTCTTGGTGAATTTGTCTTGGTGGAAAAAGATGTCAAGATTAAAAAGAAAGGAAAGATTTATAGCCTCAACGAGGGCTATGCCAAGTATTTTGATGCTGCCACCACAGAATATGTGCAGAAAAAGAAGTTTCCTGAGGTGAGTGAAGAAAGCCTGAAGCGGAAGCAGGGAGAAGACTGTCTCAGTGGGTTCCTGTTTGGGAAATGGCTGTGGGGGGCTGGCTGAAAGAGGTTGTTGCCCCTGTTTGTGGCTTTGGCCAGTGTGAACATGGCGGACTCTGACTTTCTTCGTTAGCAATCAGTATCTTTCTTTGATAGCTAAGATTTACCTACTAAAGGTATTACTCTCTAGATTAGTTTATCAGGAGAAATTGTCTATGAAGAAGGCAGAGACCAATTTTTCAAAATCCAAAGTTTTAGGTCAGAGCATCTCTCATCTTTTGCTGAGCTACCATGTTTGTAGATTCTGGTCACTCGGTTATATTTAAGTGAAGGTCCCTTTCATGTGGTCTAACATCAGGACATGGTGTTTACTCCAAATTTTAGAAAGGTCTTTGGCTCTAAGGGTGAACACCGAGTCCTGGACTTCATGTGGCTATTAATACAGCCCAAACAATCCAATAAGTATGCCTGCCATACAAAAAGCCCTATAAGACAAATGTGGGAGGGAGTCACAGTGTTTCCAGGTCGAGAGTGTGAAGTCTGACCCACACTGGAAGGGACTGGAAGGACAGTGGTGTGAGGTGCCAGCCTGGCTGTCCCTAGAAGCGCTTCACAAGCTCTAGGCAGAAAGTGCTCAGGATTCCATGGAGTCCAGAGCACTCGGTCAGCAGGGTGCTGGACATAACTCTGCTGCCTCAGTCTGAAGCTGTAGAGAGTTTTCTTCTTTCTCTCTTGTTTGTTCTTGGAGCAAAAATCCTAGAAGTGCGGTTTCCAGTATCTCTCCTTTGTCATCACACACAAACCCATCCGCTTTATCGTCTGAACCACCAGGAAAGCCCCTTAGGTGTCTTAAGGGCAGAAGTAATAGGATATGGATTGTGAGGTTGATAAAGTCAAAATTATTTATTTACAACTTCCCAGTCTTGGCGATAATTTCACAATGGTTCCCATTCTAAGGTAAAACGTACCTCTTCTAGAACCCATAAAGGAAGATACTTATTTTACCACTGGAAAACCAAACTCTTAGGCACACACACACACACACACACACACAAAACAAAAAACAAAACCACAAATCCTTTTGAAGGAGAAGTTTCAGACTGAGAACCAAAGGAGTCACCCATGTTTGACCAACCACAGGTGAAGAGTCTGACTACAAGAGGACCCAGATCCAAGGATGAACACCCAAACAGAAAACCAGTCAAAGGGCACCCTCATGCAAGTCATGAGAGAGACAGGCACGTCCAGTTAACAAATGGGAAGATGCTAATAGAAAAGAAATGCAAATTAAAATACAACATCATTTCCACATTTGAGATTTGCACAGATTCAACAGATGTATAGTGCTCAGTGGTGTGGGAAAATAAGTACTCTTATAAATATTAAGGGAAACTTAAATGTCCCCCCTCGCCTCCCAACCTTTCTGGGTGGGGCAATCTGACAGTATGATTTCCAATATTAAATATTCATATCTTTGGACTCAGTTAATCCTAAATTTTCCCCAGAAACCGATCCTAAAAAAACAATTGATCAAATAAAAACAGAGATAAATGAACAGGATATGTCACTGCAGCATTGTTTTATAATAACAACGAAGGAACAACGGAAGTATCCAATAGGAATGGTTGGTTGTGGCATTCACAATATTCTAGTAAAGTGTTGTGCCACACAGCTATTCATCTATTAGAAATTTAAGTCCTGCTCTATATATTGGTAGTGAGACATGTCCACAAGATATGCAGTCAACAAAATGGATTACACCATTAAATACATGTGAATGTATTTCTGCACACACATATGTATATATAGGATGTGTGTATGCATAAAATGTCTTCAAAATGTGCCATCTTGTTAATAGTGGTTTCTAGAAGTTAATATTATGGAGTTCATGACTTTCTCTAATGTATGAATATGTGCAACATGTCACTGAAAAGAGATCATTGTAACTCTTTCTAGAAATTATTAAAAAAAACCATTGTCGTTTGCAGAGGCAATCAAAGAGTATACAACCAAGAAAATTGAAGGGAAAAAAGCATATCAAGTAGTTAATTAATAAAAATACTATGTTCTTTTTCTGGATTTTATGGTGTTTAGTATAGTAAGAGTCAGCTTTTAAAGATGTGTAATATGTTGTGATTTCTTCTTCCTTATTTTAAATAATAAGTGTTTAAATAAGAAGTGTTTACTCTTACACTTAAGAAAGGAAAGAAAATAGACTATTCTGTTTTGAAAAGAAGTCCCTTTGCTGTCCTGTGGTTTTGCCCCGGGAAGCCCATCTCCAGGGTGTGGAGGCAGTGTCCCTTCCACTCCTCATTCTTCCAGAGGCCAATGCTTTCTGGCAGGGTCTTTGTGTTCTGGCTGCTCCGCTTCCTCATGCTGCACCCCAAGGAGGTGGGAAGTGGACCAGCACTTTTCTACACCATCCACCATTGTGGAAAGAGCAGTCCTTCTTTGCTATTTCTGTCTCTTACCAGTTGCAGTTTCTCCTATTAGCCATGATAATCACAGCTAGTGTGTACTGTGTCTGTTCCAAGGGCTTATCATGTACCAACGCATTCAATTCTCCAACAGATTACAAGATAAGTATTAATACCACAACCTTCATTTTACAAATAAGGGAACTGAGGCCCAGAACAGTCAAGTACTGTTAAGGAGTGCGAGCTCTTACTGCTTGCCACATGACAAGCCAATAAATCAAGAGACGAGTTGTTGGGGCAAGGAATAGGAACTTTATTAGGAAAGTCAGCAGACCAAGAAGATAGCGGACTAGTGTCCCAAAGAACCATCTTGCCTGAGTTAGAATTCAGGCCTCTTTTATACTAAAAAGGGAGAGGATGTGGTTGGTTGTTGCAAACTTTTTGGTGTCAGGATCCTTTGTCCTTGCAGTTGCCCAGGTAGGTCAGGATGTGATGTTCCTGTAAACCTCCAACAAGACAAATGTTATTCTCTGTTCTGTAACTTTTTATTTCTCTCTCTCTGTGTTAGTTGCTCAGTCGTGTCTGACTCTGCAACCCCATGAGCTATAGCCCCCCCAAGCTCCTCTGTTCATGGAGTTCTCCAGGCAAGAATACTCAAGTAGGTTGCCATTCCGTTCTCCAGGGAATCTTCCCGACCCAAGGATTACTTCTAAAGGTCAGAGCCATGAGAATGGGCTATCCTGTATATTTCAAGTTAGAGGCAACATTTTTTTTAATGTCCATCAATCACAAATACATTCTTTGTTAATTATTCACTTAGCTGCATTGGGTATTAGTTGCAGCACTCAGGGTCTTCATTGCATTAAATGGGATCTTTAGTTTTGGTGCATGGACTCTCTAATTGTGGTGTGCAGGCTTGATTGTACCTCTGCATGTGGGATCTTAGTTTCCTGACCAGGGATTGAACCCGTGTCCTCTGCATTGCAAGGCAAATTTTTAACCACTGGACCACCAGGAAAATCCCCAAGAGGCAGCATTCTTGTGGTAAAAGCAATAGAATACAAAGGTTGAAGTAAAAACAAACAACAACAACAAAAAAAAACAGAGGCAGTATGGAATCAGAGTTGTTCTTCCCTATTCAGTAACTTGTCTAAGGTGACCTTTAACTGAGAAAGCCAAGATTAAAATCTAGGCCTTCTGTTGTGCAACAGAGCTTTAGAATAGTTTTCATCTTGCAAAACTGAAATTCTATAGCCATTGAACAACAATTCACCATTTTCTCCTTCCCCCCACCCCCATCCCTAGGAACCATATCCTACTTTGTGTTTCTATATATTTGACTACTTTAGATACCTCATATAAGGGAAATAATGTTGTATTTGCCTTTTTTTGACTGGCTTATTTCACTAAGCACAATGTCCTCAAGTTTCACCCATGTTGTGATGCTTAAAGCTCAGCTTCTCTGTACACTAGTGCCGACTTGAACCTTGGAGACAGAATTTGGGGTGAAGTAGAAAAGAATAGTTTCATTGCCTTTCCAGCAAAGGGGGACACAGAAGGCTTATACCCTCAAAATCATGTGTCCCCTCTTGGGAAAGATAGTGAGAAGTTTTGTAGCAATTGTCCAAAGAGGATGTGATCAGCATGCGGACATTCTTCTGATGGGTTGCTGGTGAGCTGAGTTGGAATCAGCATCATCAACCTTCAGGTCCAACTGGTCTGGGGTCTATGTGCTTGTGGGCGGCATACCATCATTAATTGTTATCTTCTCCCACCTGGAGGGGGTTTCAGTATCTGCAAAATAGTTCACAGATATTGTTGTGTGTATCCTTTGATGGGGAAAACAGGACCTTGTCCCAAGGCTGCTCTTGACTGTTTCTCCTTAATCTCCCATCCCTTTTCTGATTAACAGCTGCTTGAATCTGCCCCTTGTAACTCAGGGAAGGTTATGAAGGCTGAATGAAAGCTGCTTCCTATAATCAAAGAAATGGGGGACACAGAAAGTCTTTGTGCCCAGTTACCTCAAAGGGCCCTGCTTGATATCAGTTGAGCAAGTGACAAGATTTTTTTTTTCAAAGTCCAAATAATGTCCTACTGTGTGTGTACACCACATTTTCCTTATCCATCCATCCATCAATGGACACTTAGGCTGCTTCCACTTCTTGGCTATTGTGAATAATGCTTCAGTGAACATGGATATGCAGATATCTCTTTGAGATTCTGTTTCCAATTCTTTTGGATAAATACCCACAAGTGGAAAGAAAGTTTTCATTTTTTGAAAGTTTTTCTTTCCTTTCATTCCCTCTTTAACCCTCTTTGCTCTGATATCAGCCCTTTGTAATCCTCTTTTACAAAATCCAGCATCATGTTTCCACCTGATGTTACTTGACTTCTCCGTGGCATTTAGGGTTGTTTACTCTTCCCTTTCAGCTTCTCTGGTGGCTCAGTGGTAAAGAATCTATCTGTTAATGCAGGAGAAACAGGTTCAATCCCTGGGTCTGGAAGATCCCCAAGAGAAAGAAATGGCAACCCACTCCAGTATTCTTGCCTGGGAAATCCCATGGACAGAGGAGCCTGGCAGGCTATAGTCCATGGGATTGCAAAAGAGTTGGACACAATTTGGTGGCTAAACAACAACAACAGCAACCCCATCCTTCATGAAACTCATCTTCTTTAGCCTGTGTCTGGTTTTCCATCCATCTTCCTAACCATCTTCTTCTTTTATTAGTTCCCATACCTCTGCCTATGCTTTGGTCTTGGTACATATAGGACTCTATTCCCAACAAACCTTTTGGCTCACACTTGTCCCCCCAGGGTGATCTCATCCAGTCTCTTCTGATAGGATTCAGATCTGCTTGCTCCTCCAGACACTGAGAACTCCACATATCCAACTCTGACCCTCCTATTCCCTAGCCCCCACCACTCTACACACACACACACACATACACACCATCTTCCAAGTTTACTACTTTCTGGTTTTCTTCTCTGGACCTATACTGCCTCTACCATCATATTCATTCCCAACAAAGTTTGGGGAATCCAGAGAATTACCTCTTCCTCATGCCCATGACTAATCATTTACTGGGCGTTACCAACTCTATTTCCTAAATATTCCTCAAAAAGTGAAAGAAGTCACTCAGTTGTGTCTGACTCTTTGCGACCCCATGGACTGTAGCTGCTGTCTATGGGGATCTCCAGGCAAGAATACTGGAGTGAGTTTCCATTTCCTTCTCCAGGGGATCTTTCCAACCCAGGGATTGAACCTGGGTCTCTTGAATTGCAGGCAGATTCTTTAACCTCTGAGCTACTCAAGTTAGTCCATTTTCTTCATCTCCAATTCAGACCTGCATTCTTTTACCTATTGAGAAGTCTCTTAATTGGCATCTGAAGATGTTTTGTATACTTAATATCATTATGTAAATAAAATGGAGGAGGCAAAATCTTCCATGTAACTTTTAACATACAACCTGAATAGTGCTTTCAAGACATCTCATGTGTATGCACTTCAGAAAGTATTTCCCCAGCAGCTACTTTTTGCCCCACACCAGGCTGAACTCAGGGAATGATGCCACGATCAAGCAGAGAGTGTTTTCCCCAAGGGTGTCACACACTGAAGGAGGGGTTTGGCATATAAATGCTTATAAAATCAATGCATTTTATAGTGGCCGATGCCACACAAAGCATTGGATATTTGCTCTGAAAATTTTTAGTGTTTCCTTGTACTGTTAGAGAATTATTAGATTAGACACAGAAATCTCACATGGGTCACTGAATAAGGGAAAAGCAAACCTGCTTGAAGGAGCCCTTTCATCAGATAGTCATGCCTTACTGATATGCCCTTACTTAAGGGAACTCATGAACTTCGATTTATTTCTTTCAGAGCAGATCTTCTTTTCATTACAAGACTAATGAAATTGACATTTACATGGAAGCTGTTTTATTTCTTTGAATAATTTCTAAAGGTATTTAAAATAATTTTACCAGTGGGTAAACACTGCTTACAACAAGTGTAAAAGTTGTCATGCTTCAAGGGGATCTGGTTTTCAAAAGTGTTCTGAACTGTGGGGGCCAAGGAGAAGATTCAAAGAGGAGCCCAACAGTTGGTGTTTGTCTATACTTCTTTTTTCAGTGTTTTTTTTTCTCATTAGCTTCTGTCTTAGGAGACATATTGTCTCTCACTTTAAGCAGTCTAACATTTAATGAGTCCAATTACTAGTTGAAGTTTGGGGACTCCTAATGAATGGAGTGGTCAGCTACATAATAATTTCAATTCCTAAGCTAGTGGGTAGAGGAAAGAGGACCTGGAATGCAGAGCTCACACCCACTGGATGTGTCACCTGAAGCAAGTGCTGACTGATTGCTAAACCCATTGCATCTTGCCTCTCCCCTCTCCATCCTCCAGGACGGCAGTGCTCCCTATGGCGCCAGGTACGTGGGCTCCATGGTGGCTGATGTGCACCGCACCCTTGTCTATGGAGGGATCTTCCTGTACCCAGCGAACCAGAAAAGTCCAAAGGGCAAGGTAACTCTCCTCTGTCCACTGGCTGAATCTGCTCAGGGAAGGCGGTCACAATTCCCTTTCTCGTCATGCCTGCTTTTGGCTACCATCTGTCTGTGAGTGGGCAGGTGGAGGAGAAACGAAGTATATATCCCATTAATAGAGTTCTAAGCTTGTGGTAGAAGGTCTGGAGAAGGAGGCTGAAGTTGTTGGTGACTGTCACTGGCCTTCACTTCTGCGGATCTCACGCTCCTCAATTCGCTGTGAATCAGCTGTGTTCATCCCCCACTTTCCACATGCTGTGTCTGTCTTTTTGCTTCATTACCAGCTGATTTTGGATCATAGATCCTTTTGACAACTTAATGAAACTTATGAAACTTACATGAAACTTATTACATGTAAACATACACATTACATATGTTGTCAGGGGGTTCACAGTAACTTGAGGTCGACCCAAGAATTTCCTAGAGAGTTCCCAGAAGTTCAGGCTAAGATTTTCTGAACTACCTGCAAAGGTAGCTCTGGGAAGATCTCACTGCAACTTTGTGAAACCAAACCTAAAATATTTGTGTTATCAAGTGGGAGTCCTATGATCCAATGCGTCTATCTTGAATAGACCCTGCTATGGAAAGGTGTCTGATTTTTAGCCAGTCACAGAATCATAGGTAAGAAGACAAATTCAAATAAATGTCTGCATATTCTCTGACACGCTAACAACTAGCCACATGTATATACATCTCTGAGTGTGGGTGATCCAATCTGAATTATTGGAATGCCAGATTCAAAGCCAGGATAAAGTCTAACACAGCAAGTGAAACCAGAGAGAAGATTTTTAACATGCTGGTTGGTGTATCAAGCATTTCTCTTCCTGTGACAGTTTAGCTCTTGTATATTAGCTTGTTGGACAGATAAATCTAGGGAGCAGAACAGTGTTAAGAAGTATTACATGCAATCAAGTAGAAGATGTGGAAATTCTTAAGTAGAACCACATTTGCCATCTACTCAGTTCTAACAAGGAGAACATTAAGACTAATTACTACTGGCTATCTGAAGTGACTTAGCATTAATATTTAAGATGATTTAAAATTAGTCAGAAAATATCTACATATAATTACAAAAATATTTCCATAAGATATATAACTGCATATATAGATCTACATTCACAGTATCATATTCAAAGTACCGTTGATTTCTTTTTTAAAATTTTATTTGGAGGATAATTGCTTTACAGTGTTGTGTTGGTTTCTGCCATATGACAACGTGAATCAGTCATAAGTATACATATATCCCCTCTCTCTTGGATCTCCCTCCCACTCCCCACCTCATCCCATCCCAACATAGCACCAGTTTGAGCTCTCTGTGTTACAGAGAAACTTAGCATTATCTGTTTTACATATGGTGATATATATGTTTCAATGCTACTTTCTCAATTTATCCCACCCTCTCCTTCCCCTGCCGTGTCCACAAGTCTGTTTTCTGTGTCTGTGTCTCTATTCCTGCCCTGCAAATAGGTTCATCAGTACCAGTTTTCTAGGTTCCATATATATGTGCTAATATATGATATTTGTTTTTCTCTTTCTGACTTACTTCAGTCTCTATAACAAGCTCCAGGTACCACTGATTTCTGATGTCCATGTTTTAGCTCTCATGGTCTCTGTGACCATGTTTCTGTGAGTGGGTGGGTGGTGGGGTGTGACTGCTTCTCCTCCTATTATCTCTGTATAGCAATGTAGATTTTAATTGTGGGGAAGAAAGTAGATCACATAGCCTGTAGGTAAAGGCACCATGAAGATCTGGACACTGTGTGTTAAAATGAGTTTATTAAAATGAGTTTACTACAACAATATCTTAAGGTCAGAACAAAATTTGGTTCCAAGGTAAGTTTTATGTAAGTATCCATGTCCTTATCTATCTATCTATGTTTTTGTTTATAGTATCTGAATTAATATGGTACAAATAAAAGCATCCTATTCTGTTTCCCCAAAATGGAAATAAATATCCCCTACAGTTTTAACTTACTTTCTGCCAGTGCCTAGCTCTCCAATTCAGATTGGAAATAGTTTGTTCCTCTCTTTGAAATAACAACAATCTAAAAAGCAGCACAAGATATAACTATGAAGAAAAGAATGGGAAGAAGTTGTGCAGAGCTGGATCAATCACATTGAAAGCTGATTACAGAAAAGGAAGTTTAAGTTACAGATTTCATACCTATTAGGGAAGGAAGGAGAGGATAGTGTGATATAGAGTCAGAGCATGCAGCAAGAACGTCACCTGAATCTAAGTGACGTGTGTGTGTGTGTGTGTGTGTGTGTGTGTGTGTGTGTGTGTGTGTCTGCTGTGGGTCAGGAGATGAGGAAGAAGTCAAAACATAATGACAGAAAAAGACCCAGAAAGGACATTCAATCAGCCCATTTCAATGCAACTCACCATATGCTAACTGGACATAGGACTGACACCTAGTCGCCCCATCGTGCCTTTTAGAAGGACATTTCTGTCTCAGAACAGGCACTGGATCCATGTGCTCAGCTTGGCAAAAAATGATACAGCTGATTTCCCCCCATTTCTGCCCTCCCCTAGGAGCCCTTGTGCAGCGTACACCGTAGCCTTGTTTGGACACTGCCTACATGTCAGGCAGTCCTAGGAATGAAGATGCCACAAAGACCAACCTTAAGAGATGCCTCCCCTGCCCTCAAGGGAGGGCGTCCAAGGAGTAAGGCAGATGTTAAACAAACCTCAGAGTCAGGATTATCACGAAAGGGAAAGTACAGGATGCTGTGGGAGAGCAAGCAACAAGAGACTAGGCAACTCAGTCTAAGGGGTCAAAAGAAAAGGTCATCTAAACACCAGCAAACTCTTCAGCCAAGTTGACACTTGAGCTGTTCCTCCCCATGATCCTGGACACTGTGGTTGTCCTGAGAGACCACCCAGCACTCTCTAGGTGACCCTCCGATCCCATCCAAGCTTGACTCTATTGGCCTTAAGGTCTCCTTAATGTAGAGGCTCCTAATCTGGACTCAGAATCACTTTGCCTCATTGACGAACCAGTGAGAAGTGAATATTAAGATCTCATACTCCCAAGTCTCTCATAAGCACAAAGGTTAGGAGACAGGTAGCTATCGATCGGAGGTGTCCCCAGAGGCATATGTGATCAGCATCAGCTGGGGCACCCAGCCTTGTGGAGAGTGTGGGTCTCTGGCAGCCGGCTCCCCTGAGATGCGCAAATGTACTCGCACTATTGAGACAGAGGTTCAGCAGTTGGAGCTTCAGCTTGGCAAAAAATGATACAGCTGGAGCTTCAGGCACATAGTTTGGGGATCTTGGCAATTTGGAACACTTGTCCACCTGACTCTGTTTCTCCTCAGCTCCGGCTTCTGTATGAGTGCAACCCCGTGGCCTACATCATCGAGCAGGCGGGAGGCCTGGCGACCACCGGCACCCAACCCGTGCTGGACGTGAAGCCCGAAGCCATTCACCAACGAGTCCCCCTCATTCTAGGGTCCCCGGAGGATGTACAGGAATATCTCACCTGTGTACAGAAAAATCAGGCAGGCAGGTAGTGGGTCTGACCCACAAGCCCTCTTCTCTTTGTATGTGCTTTGTTAGGGACCCTAGATGAGTAAGTGAGTGAATGCCGGTGATGAGAAACAGAAGGTAAATCCGCCGAATCATGTGCAGAAGGGCAGCAGCCCACTGCTCACGACAGGTCTAGAAGCCAGAGGCGAGTCTGTGCCCAGTGTAAAGGGCTGAAAATAAAACTCACACGTGAAAACAGCAACTGTGATTTGTCTTCTGTCATGAACAGTGGTAAATAGGGTTGTTATTTATCTGCCCGAGTAATCAGCAGCTATCCCTTGTGGGCAGAAAGTACAGAGGTGAGTTAAGAATTTGTCTTGGCTGAAAATCTGAACCTAAATGTCTTAATCCTATAGTGATTAATTTCCTTTCTTATAAAGTAGATACATATATTTACTATATATACTCATTTTATATATACTTATATATATATTTAATGTATATAAATGTATCCATTATAGATATTTAAATGGCTGACTTAATTTCTTAAAAGTTTTTGTCTTATTGTGGATAGGCTTTGAGTTATAAATCTCATGGCTATTAAATTGTAAAATTTTGCATCAAGCAAACAAAGATACATCAGGAAAAATTCAACTTATTTTTAGGAGCGAAGATTTGGATGACCAATAACTACTTGAATGGAAAAATGTGGTCACCTGTTGACAAAGTCACATACTAACTGGAGTTAATATTTAAAAATTAATACCTAGTTTTCTCAGCCTTGTGACTTTTCCTTTTTAATTTTTTTGGAAAATAATCCATTCTAGATCCTAACCAGAGTACATTGGTTAATGACTTCATTTGTCCAAACTGTGTTATGATTGGAATGGGTGGAATGCATCAGAAATATGTTTACTTTTCCAAGAGTTGCTATATATGTATATAGACCTGGAGGCCAAAAATGCCTAGTGAAATATTCACAAACAAATCCAGAAATATAAATCAAAGATACATCAGGACAAAGTCAAGCTTAACTCCAAAATTCAAGGATGATTCAATGTTAGAAAACCCATTAAAGAATGCATTAGATTAAGGCAAAAGGCAATGGTGGGAAGTGGGGGCTTGGAGAAACCATGAGAGGAAAATTCCTTCACTTCGCTTTGGACAAGGTGGTTCATACAGCCTAGAGGTGGATTTCAATTTGGATATAATTCAGGACTCAACAGTGTTCCTCAGTCCACCTCTGCTTGACAGCAGTAAGAGAAGCAGTAAAATTGAAGCATAATCAAAAAGTTTTCATCTCCCCCCACAAAACACAGAAATTTTCTTTTTCTAGGAAAAATTCTGATGATAAGCAATGGGCTATTAATGCTTTATTATACCGTTCATCTGAAACTTATATCTGAATGATTCAAACTGAAGTCTTCACTTCTTAGGAATAAATTGATATGGTGCATTTATAACACATGATTTCAAGACCTCCCAGCCAGGAGGAAAGTTTTTCTGGAAGCAAAGCTGAATGATAGCACCTTCAATCATGATTTGTATTGCTCTGATGAATATGGTAGGTGCTCAGGGAAACATTCATTCACTATCCTTCTTTAAGCTGAGACTGTTGGTCCCTGCACATCAAATCTAAAAACAGGAATCTAGCAAAGAGCATGGGACTCTCATTCAATTCTTAGTGGCTACATATCAAAGATTTGAGGGTATCAGTCAACAGTGCCTGGGTGGCCAGTGCTTTCATAAGCAGGGTCTGGAAAGACCATCAGAAAGAGGTTGTGCCTTCTGGCCTAAGTGATCTGAGAATCCCTTTTCTCTTGGTTTCTCATTCCCTCCTGAATACCTTCACAGTTTAGATGCTTGTGTCCAATTCAGGAGAAGCCCAGTTGTTCTTTCCATTTTCTAGCAGCCTCCAAAATACACTCTCCAGGTGTGGCCCTACTTGAGGAAAGTGGGACCATTCACTGGTTTCCTTTGTAATTTGTACAGATGAACTTCGCAGGAGCAGACCCATTAACACACCAAAAGGAGAAAAGACATTTTAATAGGTGCTCTTTAAAAATAAAAAGAAAACATGCTGTTTCAAATCAGTGGGTAAAGAAATGACTGGTGTTTGAATAATTAGCTTGTCATTTGAGGGGGGAAAAAAACCCAAAACCTGGATCCGCAAACGTGTTGCAGATGGATTCAAAAATTAAACATAAAAAGGCATCTGTAAAGGCATTGCAAAAAGATAAAGCATATATTTATGACCTTAAACAGGACCAAAAGACACAAAGCCCAAGATATAAAGGAAAGACCGATGTGATTACATCGAAATAAAAACAATACACCACTAATTTAAAAAGACAATTGATAGCTTAGGAGAAAATATTTATAATATATAACAAAAAATTAACACCAAGAATCATACATATTGAGAGAAAAAAGAAGCTATCCTAGAGAAATAAATTAACAATAAAAAACTGCAATTTGCAGAAGAGAAAACACAAATAGTCAATACACATGTGAAAAGGCGGTTAGACTCCCTGATGATCAGGGAAATATAAGTAAAATAACATCAGATTCAGTTCAGTTCAGTTCAGTCGCTCAGTTGTGTCCAATACTTTGTGACCCCATGAACCTCAGCACGCCAGGCCTCCCTGTCCATCACCAACTCCCAGAGTTCACCCAAACCCAGGTCCATTGAGTCGGTGATGCCATCCAACCATCTCATCCTCTGTCGTCCCCTTCTCTTCCTGCCCTCAATCTTTCCCAGCATCAGGGTCTTTTCAAATGAGTCAGCTCTTCACATCAGGTGGCTAAAGTGATTGGAGTTTCAGCTTCAACATCAGTCCTTCCAATGAACACCCAGGACTGATCTCCCTTAGGATGGAGTGGTTGGATCTCCTTGCAGTCCAAGGGACTCTCAAGAGTCTTCTTCAACACCACAGTTTAAAAGTATCAATTCTTCTGCACTCAGCTTCTTTATAGTCCAACTCTCACATTCATAAATGACTACTGGAAAAACCATAGCCTTGACTAGACGGACCTTTGTTGGCAAAGTAATGTCTCTGGTTTTTAACATGCTGTCTAGGTTGGTCATAACTTTCCTTCCAAGGAGTAAGCGTCTTTTAATTTCATGGCTGCAATCACCATCTGCAGTGATTTTGATTAACAAGGAACAATGAAGTCTGCAAACATTACATTGCTAACAAGGCTGGGAAATGAACCCCTTATCCCCGCTGGTGAGACAGACAGTGGGCACGTTCTTCTGGGAGGGCAATTTGACAGTTCTTTTTTCTTTAATGTTTGTTTATTGACTGTATTTTTGACTGTGTTGGGTCTTTGCTGTTGTGCGGGCTGTCTCTAGTTGTGAGTGGGAGTCGGGGTGGGGGTGGCGCTACTCTTCCTTGCAGTGCGCTGGCTTCTCACTGCAGTAGCTTCTCGTGTTGTGGAGCACAGAGGCTAGGGCACTCAGGCTTCAGCAGTTGTGGCTCATGGGCTCCATAGTTGCAGATCCTGGGCTCTAGAGCAACAGGCTCAGTAGTTGTAGTGTACAGGCTTAGTAGCCCCGCAGCAGGTGGAATCTTCCCAAATCTGGAATCAAACCTATGTCTCCTGCATGGCAAAGCAGATTCTTTAGCACTGAGCCACCAGGAAAGCCCTGAAAGTTCTTTCTAATTGGAAAGCCCCCCTGGCCCAATAGTCCCATTTTGGTATCTACAAAAGCCTATATTAGTCTTTTAAAAATTAAGTATTATTTGTGATAGCAAAAGGATGAGAATAATTTTTTTTACCTTATTCACAGAAATTCATACTCTATGTTTTTCTAGGTTAATATGGAATACTGAATTACAATTGCTTCCTCTGTTTAGCAATCTGAGCTATGTGTTGACTTTTGATTCTTGTAGATTTATTCCAAACTATAGTTGCTAGTATATTTAGCCTTGTGAACTTCATATATACCTAGTTGACTAGAAAAAATGGACAAGCAATAAAATAAAACAAACAAAATACTCAGGATGAGAACAATTTAAATGTCCACATGCAGGGAGATAACAGATTTGCTATGTAGTAGTTTACATAAGTTGGGACTTACAAACCCACTAGAAATAAATATATTAAATAGATTTATACAAAGGCATTCTTAATGTTAAAATAGATAAGTGCAGAAAGAAAATATGTCTGCTAGCACGCTTTGGCCTTTTGTTTCCTTTAAACCTGAATAGAATTAACATGTTCTTTACTCTCTGGCTTCACATTCATGAAATGAAAGCTATTCACTTTTTTTCTTTGGTAAGGAAGAGAATACAAATGAGAAATATATGGAGGGAAGGTGGGAGAGGGAGGGTGGGTCTATAAGGTGGGTCTGTATTTCAGTCAGGGTTCTCCAGAGAAACACAACTGATCGGGGAAATGGACACACACACACACCACGAACCCATGATAGTGATTTATCTGTGCAGTAGACAAACTCCCTGCCCTCAAAGAGCTCAGGCCTGGTGGGTGAGACACGTGTTTAATTGCCACTCACTGTGATGAGGGCTCTAGGAGTAAAGTACCGTATGTTTGCTCTGGAGCCATTTAAAGGAGCTGCCGTTCTGAAAGTGAGGAGTCAGGCAAGGCTTTCCAGTGGAAATGACATTTAAACTGAGACTTGAAAGTGAGGCTAGAAACTAGTCAGGAGAAAGTTAGTGGAGAAGGCGAGTGAGAGGGATATGCATGAGCAGGTGACAGAACCTACGGGCAAAGATTTGAGAATAGGTAGAGTATGATTTGTTAAGCATCTGCTTGCAATGCGGGAGACCTGGGTTCAATCCCTGGGTCGGGAAGATCTCCTGGAGAAGGAAATGGCAACCCACTCCAGTATTCTTGCCTGGAAAATCCCATGGACAGAGAAGCCTGGTAGGGTACAGTCCATGGGGTCGCAAAGAGTCGGAAATGACTGAGCGATGTCACTCACTCACTCACTCAGAGTATGATTTACTGGGGGCACAGCTGGTAATTCAGTTGGGAGTAGAATGTGAGGAGGGGGAGTGAGAGGTGAGGCTGCAGGGGTAAGCAAGGCCTAACTCATACAGGGTGTTCTGAGTTGGTTAAGGAGTTTGGAATTTGTCCTGAGGGCAATGGGGAGCCATTGATGAGTTTTAAGCAATGGAGGAACATAATCAATATGCATTTTAGCAAATATTACTTATACTATCAAGATAGATGGGAAAAACATCAACCACCTCAGATATGTGGATGATACCACTCTAATGGCAGAAAGTGAAGAGGAACTAAAGAGCCTCTTGATGAAGGTGAAGGAGGAGAGTGAAAGAGCCGGCTTAAAACTAAAATATTAAAAAAACTAAGACCATGGCATCCAGTCCTGTTATTTCATGGCAAATATAGGAGGAAAAGGTGGAATTAGCAACAGATTTCCTCGTCTTGGGCTCTAAAATCACTGTGGACAGTGACTGCTGCCATGAAATCAGAGGATGATTGTTTCCTGGAAAGAAAGTGATGACAAACTTAGATGGTATGTTGAAAAGCAGAGACATTACTCTGTTAACAAAGGTCCATATAGTCAAGGCTATAGTCTTCCCAGTGGCCACATACGGTTGTGAGAGCTGGATCATAAAGATGGCAAAGCACCAAAGAATTGATGCCTTTGAACTGTGATGCTAGTGAAGACTCCTGAGAGTCCCTTGGACAGCAAGGAGATCAAACTAGTCAATCTTAAGGAAAATCAACCCTGAATACTCACTAGAAGGACTGATGCTGAAGCTGAAACTCCAGTATTTTGGTCATCTGATGTGAACAGCTGACTCATTGGAAAATTCCCTGATGTTGGGAAAGATTGAGGGCAGAAGGAGAAAAGGACATCAGAGGATGGGATGACTGGATGGCATCACTGATGTAATAGACATGAACTTGGGCAAACTTTGGGATATGGTGAGGCACAGGGAGGCCTGGCATGCTACAGCCCATTTGGTAGCAAAGAATCAGACGTGACTGGGCAAATGAACAACAACTTATACTATAGATAATGGATTCGGAGGTTTGTTAGGTCACCATCATTAAGAAAGTTAATGTCATCATCTCCATGAAAACTGATGGTAATGTGACCGTGACAAGCAAAAAAGCCATTAAGTATGCAGAAAGCATAGGTGTTTGAGGAATATTCATGAGGGTTGAGGATTCAGGGGTTGATTATGTATGTCAGAGAAAAGGAGAGGGAGGGAATGAATGAAATGGATGTTCGTGCCATTACAAAGCCAGGGAGCACTCGCTGATGACCTGTCCCAGGGAAAATTCAGCTCTGTACATTGGAGTTTGAAGTTTCTGTGGGTTAGCTGGGTTAGGACGTCTTATAGGCAGTTGGGTACATGGGGGGTTTCAAGCTCAGGAGAGGGACTGAAAGTCATCAGAAATTTCAGGTGGTACCTGTAGTAACTAGAATAAATGAGGTCATTTGGGAGGGTCTGGACTTTAGGGATGGACTTAAGTTAATAGAAGGTGAGGAAGTGGAGTATAGCAAGTTTAAACAAGCTGTTCAAGAGATTCAGCTGGAAACAGGAAGAAGAATATATTGTAGTAACTGCAGTAGTAACCTGGGGCTAAGAGGAGGTTTGCTTGCTTGTTTTATGATGAACAAAACACACTTACATCTTAAAAAAAAAAAAGTGAAAAGCAAAACTCCATGTTTGGGTAAAGACAAAGCAAAAGGACTATTCACATCCCTGAATTAATAATTGTAGTTGTTCCCTTGAGGAAGGGGAATATTTAAGGGGATATAGTTTCAAAAGGGGCCTTTGCATTATCTTCACTGCTAAACTTTCAGAACTCTGAGAATGTGTTCATATAATGTGGATACATTGGTTATTCATTTGTCTGGATAGCAGACCATATTGTGTGCCTACTCTGTGCCAGGTCTTGTCTTCAGCGCTGAGGATAGGTGAACAAAGCAGAATCCCTTGTCTCTGTGTAGATCTCTGTATAGAATAAACGCTGATGTGTGGAAGAGACACAGTAAACAACACTAACAAATAAAATGTAATAGTGTCATCAGTTCAGTTCAGTCCAGTCGCTCAGTCCTGTCTGACTCTTTGAGACCTCGTGAATCGCAGCACGCCAGGCCTCCCTGTCCATCACCAACTCCTGGAATTTACTCAAACTCATGCCCATTGAGTCGGTGATGCCATCCAGCCATCTCATCCTCTGTCGTCCCCATCTCCTCCTGCCCCCAATCCCTCCCAGCATCAGGGTCTTTTCCAATGAGTGAACTCTTCGCATGAGGTGGTCAAAGTATTGGAGTTTCAGCTTCAGCATCAGTCCTTCCAATGAACACCCAGGACTTATCTCCCTCAGGATGGACTGGTTGGATCTCCTTGCAGTCCAAGGGACTCTCAAGAGTCTTCTCCAACACTGCAGTTCAAAAGCATCAATTTCTCTGCACTCAGTTTTCTTCACACTCCAACTCTCACATCCATACATGACCACTGGAAAAAACATAGCCTTGAACAGATAGACCTTTGTTGGCAAAGTAATGTCTCTGCTTTTTAATATGCTCTCTAGGTTGGTCATAACTTTCCTTCCAAGGAGTAAGCGTCTTTTAATTTCATGGGTGCAGTCACAATCTGCAGTGATTTTGGAGCCCCCCAAAATAAAGTCTGACACTGCTTCCACTGTCTCCCCATCTATTTCCTATGAAGTGATGGGACCAGATGCCATGATCTTCGTTTTCTGAATGTTGAGCTTTAAACCAACTTTTTCCCTCTCCTCTTTCACTTTCATCAAGAGGCTTTTTAGTTCCTCTTCACTTTCTGCCATAAGGGTGGTGTCATCTGCATATCTGAGGTTATTGATATTTCTCCCGGCAATCTTGATTCCAGCTTGTGCTTCATCCAGCCCAACGTTTCTCATGACGCACTCTCCATATAAGTTAAATAAGTAGGGTGACAATATACAGCCTTGATGTACTCCTTTTCCTATTTGGAACAGTCTGTTGTTCCATGTCCAGTTCTAACTGTTACTTCCTGACCTGCATACAGGTTTCTCAAGAGGTAGGTCAGGTGGTCTGGTATTCCCATCTCCTTCAGAATTTCCCACAGTTTATTGTGATCCAAACAGTTGAAAGCTTTGGCATAGTCAATAAAGCAGAAATAGATGTTTTTCTGGAATTCTCTTGCTTTTTCTATGATCCAGCAGATATTGGCAATTTGATCTCTGATTCCTCTGCCTTTTCTAAAACCAGCTTGAACATCTGGGAGTTCTCGGTTCATGTATTGCTGAAGCCTGGCTTGGAGAATTTTGAGCATTACTTTACTAGTGTGTGAGATGAGTGCAATTGTGCGGTAGTTTGAGCATTCTTTGGGATTGCCTTTCTTAGGGATTGGAATGAAAACTGACCTTTTCCAGTCCTGTGGCCACTGCTGAGTTTTCCAAATTTGCTGGCATATTAAGTGCAGCACTTTCACAGCATGATCTTTCAGGATTTGAAATAGCTCAACTGGAATTCCATCACATCCACTAGCTTTGTTCGTAGTGATGCTTTCTAAAGCCCACTTGATTTCACATTCCAGGATGTCTGGCTCTAGGTGAGTGATCACACCATTGTGATTATCTGGGTCGTGAAGATCTTTTTTGTGCAGTTTTTCTGTGTATTCTTGCCACCTCTTCTTAATATCTTCTGCTTCTATTAGGTTCATACCATTTTTGTCCTTTATTGAGCCCATTTTTGCATGAAATATTCCCTTGGTATCTCTGATTTTCTTGAAGAGATCTCTAGTCTTTCCTTTTCTATTGTTTTCCTCTATTTCTTTGCATTGATCACTGAGGAAGGCTTTCTTATCTCTTCTGGCTATTCTTTGGAACTCTGCATTTAAATGGGTACATCTTTCCTTTTCTCCTTTGCTTTTAGCTTCTCTTCATTTCACAGCTATTTGTAAGGCCTCCTCAGACAACCATTTTGCCTTTTTGCATTTCTTTTCCATGGGGATGGTCTTGATCCCTGTCTCCTGTACAATGTCACGAACCTCTGTCCATAGTTCATCAGGCTCTCTGTCAATCAGATCTAGTCCCTTAAATCTATTTCTCACTTCCACTGTATAGTCATAAGGGATTTGATTTAGGTCACACCTGAATAGCGTCATAGACGGTGGTAAATGCTATGGGAAAAATAAATCAGGGGACGGGAGAACAGAACTACCAGGAGTTATTTTAATTTTAGTTCTGGGTAAGGACAGAATTATACTTTTGTCTGTATATATGCCTAGGAATGGGATTTTTGGATCATATGGTAACTCTATTTTTAGTTTTTTGAGGAACCTCCATACTGTTCTCATAGTAGCTATACCAAATTCCATTCCCACCAACAGTGTAGAAGGGTTCTTTTTTTCCCACACCCTCTCTAGCAATTATTTGTAGACTTCTAATGATGACCATTCTGACTGGTGTGAGGTGATACCTCGCTGTAGTTTTGATTTACTCGTGCACATTTGATAGCTGGAAAAGTGAGTAGGTAAGAGGTAAGTTCTGGTTCTCACCAGGTGAATAGTTAACTCCACCTGAGACTATATTCTCTAGCCTGTTCATTAACAAAAGAGTTTCTCAGGCACACAAGGGTTTTTTTGTTTGGAAACGCAGCTCATCTCCAGGAAGCTCTCTTCTTGGAAGTTAGAATGACACTCAGGACAGTATGACAGTCTGTGACAAAAGGCTCCCAAGACATCCAGGGAGAATGGGTGGTGGGCCAGTAAGTGCAGGCCGGGACTACCTCCTACCAAAGGAAAACAGAAGTCAACCCAGGAGTCAGAGAAAGACTCCTATTACTAGAGGGCAGGAATTCAGTGTCAAAAAAGACCATAAAAGTATTCCCCAGCATGAGTTAGGCCATTTTGTGTCACGACTACTTTTTTTTAGCAGCATTTATATTGTTAATATTGTCTTGTTGCATCAACTCCCATGTTTCCTTCATATCTTATCATCTTTCCTCCCTCACAGAGAAAAACAGGAAACATTTGATGTCATCAAGTAAAAGTGGTGCCAGTGAGTAAAGAAGACATTAATTTTCAAGTTAAGTTAATAACCTTAATTCTCAAGTTAAATACAAAGAGAAGGAAGCAAAGCTTGTTTTCAGTGCATTTTAATGTGTGAGAATGTCTATGAGGTATCGATCGACTATCTCTAGTTTGAAACACTGACCAGTGCTTGATTTAGATGAGAGAGGACTTGTGAAGAAGGGAAAAGATACCTAAACTTCTTGTGCCGTTTTTTTCCACTTGCTGATCTTTAAATCCACTGCGGAGTCATGTAGGGTTTCTTCAGCTTCTCCTGTCTTAGCCAACTATTGCGTTATGGACGGTACCATTTGAAGAATTGTGAGGAAAGGCTGAGAACCACTATGAGCTGAGGGATTCCTGATGTTATCCCTCTGTGTTCAGCAGGTCTGGCTCATCTTGGGTGGTCCTGAGCCAATGAGTCCTCTTGGGCTGTCTGGGCTGCGGAGGAAAGAACAGGCGAGCTGCAGGCCAGGACAGTCGTTTCCTGGGGTTGACATACACCACACACTATGGCTTAAAGTCATAGGAATTTATTCTCTCACTCCCGGAGGCCAGAATTCCAGTGTCTGCAGGGCTATATCCCCATGAGGGCTCTAGGGAGGAACCCTCTGTTGACTTTTCAGCTTCTGATGGTAACTTTATTTTTCAGACCAGTTTATTGTGTCAACTGAAGAAGAAAAAAATAGCACAACCTAAAAGTTGGGAATTATGCTTTATTTAGGGGCTTCCCTGGTGGGTCAGACGGTAAAGCGTCAGTCTGCAGTACGGGAGACCCGGGTTCGATCCCTGGGTTGGGAAGATCCCCTGGAGAAGGAAATGACAACCCACTCCAGTACTCTTGCCTGGAAAATTCCATGGACTGAGGAGCCTGGTAGGCTACAGTCCAAGGGGTTCCAAAGAGTTGGACACAACTGGGCGACTTCACTTTCACTTTCATCCACAGATTTAAGCAGGAGAGACAGCCTCTCGGATAACTCTGAAGGACTGTTCTGAGGAGGTAAGGGAGGAGCCAGGATACATAGGAGTTTTTGCAACAAAACAAAACAAATAAAAAAATACCCCAGGTAGCTTTCCTAGTAGATCAAACAGTAAAGCAACTGCCTGCAAGGCAGGAGACCCAGGTTTGATCCTTGGGTCAGGAAGATCCCCTGGAGAAGGAAATAGCAACCCACTCCAGTATCCTTGCCTGGAAAATTCCATGGACAGAGGAGCCTAGCGGGCTATAGTCCATGGGGTCGCAAAGAGTTGGACACAACTGAGTGACTAACATACAGTCAGAACATCAAAAGATAACTGTTAATTACTTTGTGTGCTTAGTCAATCAATTGTACCTCATTCTTTGAAACACCATGGACTTTAGCCTACCAGGCTCCTCTGACCATGGGAATTCTCCAGGCAAGAATACTGGAGTGGGTTGCCGTGCCCCTCCTCCAGGGGATCTTCCCAACCTGGGGATCGAACCAAGGTCTCTCAAATTTTGGGCAGATTCTTTACCCTCTGAGCCATGAGGGAAGTCAGTTAATTACTTTAGTGCTTTTCTATGTTTAGGGAGATGCCAGAATCTGGATTCACTGCAATCATTTCTTTGATTTGCACCTTAATTATCTAGGTCTGGTATCCTGTTTTTCTCCATCCTAAATCCCCTCAGGTTCACAGTTGGTGGCAGCTTTTAGTGGCTGAGGGGTTGATGGCTGCAACATCCTTGGTTTACTGAATGGCAACATTTGTCTAAAATCAAAATTTGTTTTCAGCTTTATTTGATTTATGTCAATTGGCTTATTTTCAAAAGCTTTTACGACAGATACTTTTTCAAACTTTTCACAGTTTACATAAATATAAATGTCTTTGAAAGTTCCAGAAGATTCTAATATCTGTTTAATCATTTGACATCTGAGAGGTCTTCACATTTTCATTCATATCAGCAGCTAGGCATTTTCTTAGAGTCTTGGGCTGTACTTCCAAGATTACATGAAAGCAGTATGAACTAGCCTGTCATAGTGAAGCAAGGTGACAGATACTAAGGAGTCCTCTCCAGTGGACTTTCAGAGACTGAAGGTGGCAGATTGCATTTTCCAAAGATGGCCACAACCACATCTTCCATCCCACGTGCTCTTCTACTAAGTGACCTTGCCTTGCCTCACCAGGAGGTGGACTGTCAACCCCTTCCCCTGGAACCTGGGCAATATGTTCTGAATACAGTAAAGCAGCAGAGGTTGCACTTGGAACTAAGATCAGGTCAAAAGAAGCCTTCCAGTTCTTCGTTAGACATTCAGGCCTGTTCTCTCGGGATGTTCCTCTCCGAGCCAGCCTTCATGCCATGGGAGTTCAAGTCATGGGGAGGTCCATGTAGGTGCTCAGGTTGGCAGCCAGGGCTGAATGCCCAGACTGCAACAGCATCTAGGATGGCCATGTGAGTGAGCCTGCTTGGATGTCAGCCGGTCAGAACTGCTAGTGATTCCCGCATGTATGAAAGATTTCCAATGGAAAACAGTGTAGTTAAGCTCAGTCAGGAAATTGGAAAGATAGGTATTTTTTTTTTCCAAACTGCTATGTTTCCTTATAGTTTGTTTTTACAGTAAAAAATAATCAGAATAGTCTTTTCACTGCATGCCCCACTGGTTCCCCTGTGTCCTAAAAACCTGTGTGTGTCCTAAAAACGTAAAAAGCCCCATCTCCCGCAGCTTAATCTGATCACTTCCCACTTTCTCTAAATGTCATTTCTCTTTTCTAAGGGTTCTGACCTGGGAATTCTATGCTCAGACACCCACCCTTTTATCCTGTATTATTATTGATTGACCGAGGCATCCCTGGTGTACCAAGAATCTGCCTGAATTGCAGGAGACCCAGGTTTGATCCCTGGGTTGGGAAGATCCCCTGGAGAAGGAAATGGCAACCCACTCCAGTATTCTTGTCTGGAGAATTCCATGAACAGAACAGGCTGGTGGGCTAAAGTCCAGGGGGTTGCAAGAGTCGGACATGACTTAGTCTCTAAACAACACAACAACAATAACATTGACTGGATCCTCTGGGTCCACATCAGGTTTCTCTCCCTTCTGATGTTTCAACCAGCCGCCTCGAATAGCACCATCTCCTCCTCAGGGTTGGGAATGTCTCTTCCACAGTGTCACCAGGACACAGAAGATGCTACCATTCTGATGTCTCAATCTGGTCCCAACCAGTCAAAGGGGCTGATTGGGAGCCTCCCAAATTTTCCCGTGGCTACACTGGGTTATGCTGTCTCAAAACACATAGACTTTTACTCCAAACACATCTGTCATCTTGGGTCAGGAAGTTGGAAATATAAGCAGCTGTGGCCGCACTGAGGCTCCAGCATGACACACAGTCCATTGCAGATGGACTTGACCAGAGGCTGCTGGAAGTTTTGTGGGCTGACCCTAATTGTGCTCCACTTCATGTCCTCATAAGGAATTACAGCATTCTATTAACTGAATGCTTCCACTTGCTTTTTATTTCCCTGAGTAGGAATATGAGAATTTTAAACCCAAAGACAGTAAGTACTATGTGTTTCCTTAGCCTGCAGAATGTAGGGAATTTTTCTTTTTAAAATCAAATTCAGGAATTAGGGACCTAGGTGTAAATTAGGCTTCAGACAATCACTTCTGATATTCACCTATTGTCCACCTCTGAGGCCACCAGACTACTTTTGAAGCCCAGTCTCAAAAGTGGGTGCTTGTCCTTCATTGCTTATGGATGTGATGACAAACATTCTTGGCAACGCTTTGGGTCTGTTGCAAAGTAGCCACGTTGTCTTCACTAGAAGTCCGGCAAGTTGCACCAGAAACAGACTCTGGGACATTGATTTTCAGAGTTATATCCTATAACATCGTGGGTCAAACGATCATGATCTCTAAGGCCCTTTTCTCGATTGGAAATCATATGCGTGTGTGTTCACTTTTCTAAAATGTGAATTATTTCCTTATGAAAACAATTTACCGTCTTTCCCCAGGGCAGTGCCCTAGCACGCCTGCGCAGCAGACCATGCCCTGCTTCCCCCTGCCCCTCCCCCTTCCTTATTCCTCCCTCCCTTCTTCCTAGCTCCTCAGTTCTTCATCCCCTTCCCGCCTGGTCTCAGAGGACCCCACTGTAGCACCACTTGTCTCCGCCCTGCTGGCAACCTCCGCGAAGCCGTCGGTACCACTCCCAGCTCATGTGGGCCCCAGTGGGCTGCCCACATCTGTCCTCCAGCTCCCTGTTCTGCTGGGCTTTCTGAGTCATCAGAAAGATGACTCGTCGTGGGTGTCTTTCTGAGCCGCCCCTTCCATGCCCCCTCTGCATCCTCTTGCGCCACTTGGGACTCCACCCCCTCGCCCCCCTCCCCGCCCCCACCCTACCCCATTACCGCGTTCCCCGCCCCAAGGATCCGGTGGTCATGTGTCCCAGAATCTGCCAAGCCAGGTGAAGGGGAAGATCCTGGTGTTACTCATTTCCCCTTTGGTGGGGTCCTGAGGCCCACGGTCCACCTGGAACACCTCCTGACTTCATTCTGGAGGTGGTAATAGACAAACATCCCCTCGGGATTTTGTAGGTAAGAGGCCCCATGTGGCTTCCTTCCTGGAAGTGATGAGCCCGTGGTCCCAGCTGGTGGTGGTCACAGCAAGTGAGCCTCGAGGCTCCTAGGAGAGCCACAACAGTGTCTGGGGGATAAACAGGTGGCCGGAGTGTGAGACACATTCAGTAACTTAGGAGGCTCAAAAGAGAATCCAAGCTAGCTTTGTTTTGATTTTTTTAACAGCTCTTGTGCAAGACGACTCACCCTTGTCCTTTAGATTGTCAAATTTTGCTCTGTTCAAGGGATGTCAGACACGGTCAATGGGCAACTAACATAAGATCTGCATATCTGTAACTATAAGAACCAGAAGGCCACACAGCCATTCTCCTAATAGACCACTGGCACATTCAGTTAGGGGCTTCCCCGGTGGCTCAGAGGTAAAGAACCCACCTGCAATGCAGAAGACGTGGGTTTGATCCCTGGGTTGGGAAGATCCCCTGGAAAAGAAAATGGCAACCCACTCTGGTATTCTTGCCTGGGGAATTCCATGGACAGTGGAGCCTTGTGGGCTATAGTCCACAGGGTCACAAAAGAGTCAGACATGGCTTAGCAACTAAAACAACAACAACAAATAATCAGTTATGTCTTAAGAGCCCAATTATGTTTTTTACTCTACAAAAATTTAATGTATTAAAAACAGAAAGAAGCACCACCTCTATTCTGAAATAAAGTTTTATTTTAAAAGGTAAAACTTTCTACATCCTTTTAAAACATGAAAGTTCAAAATTCATTCGGCAAGTTGATCATACAAACATATTTACAACAGTAGTGAAAGAAGTGGTAACATTTCACCAGAGTAAAGAGGTGATAAAATTCAGATCACAACTTGGATTTTCAATGATTCAATTCTTTCATTCCCACACAATAAAGTCTGGTCTGTTTTAAGAGAATATCCTTCCTCTGGATATTGTTCTTAATCCAGCCTTTGAGATTTAGACAGAAGGATAACTGGCCATGGTGGCGATTCCACAGTGGTTGTCCCGGTCTTTGGCCATCATTATGTAGCCATTCATGCCCCAGTGTTCACCCCAGCTGAAAGAAGAGAAGGTTTTCATTTTATACAAAGAATCAAACACATTTATATTTATTAATACTTAAACAGTGCACCAGAAATCAAGACAGATTCAGAAAGAAGCAAGAAATGCAGTTGTTCCTGTTCATGGTTGAGTTCTAAATGTACAAATAACTTCTATCCCCAAACCTTTCACAGAACTATAAAATTAGAGATGTGAAAAAGAAACTCTTGGGGCCAGATGTGTTTTAGAATTAAAAAAATGTTTGGATTTAGAAATGAGATGATACCAAAACTACATCATACCTTAGGCAACTTCAGACAGTATCTTAATGTTATAATCAAACATTAATATGTCTGTGATCACCCTAAGTGGCATAAGACTTCAGAAGTGTACTTAAGGATTGGAGGACCTGAATTCAAAAAGGACTCCCCCTTTCAACCTCAAATATAAGTATTTGGGACATTTTATACCTGTTTTTGACAAGCCAATATTTATTGTCATCTGAGTGTGCTCCTTCAAAGCCATAGCCAACTACCAGAACAGCATGATCCACGGATTCACTGCTGCATTTTGGCTCATAATAAATGCCTGGGAAAATAAAATACAATGTTGGGGTGAAGACCTCCAAGTGACCTACTCTATTAATTAGGGTAAGGAGACATCTCAAAATTTAGCTAAATGATATAAATCTAGATAAGATTTAAAAACAAGATTTTTTTTTTCATTCTAGGCCAGGGATCCAGGCCCTCATCTAACACTAGCAGATATACAAATAGCATACTCTCTTTTGTAAACAGCATGTCAAGAGACATAAAAGAACACTCCCTAAAATCTTATCATTTTACTTTCAGGACATTCAGTCTAGGGAAATAGCACACAACACAAAATTACCTCAGCCAAGTTCTTTCTAGTTTTAATTATAGTAGCAAAATTCTTTGGAAAATTTCAAAGGTCTAACAGTTGAAACTCTGGGTGGCTACAGTCATAAATAGGGCTTTCCAGGTGGTGCTAGTGGTAAAGAATCCGCCTGCCAATGCAGGAGACTCATGAGACGTGGGTTCAATCCCTGGCTTGGGAAGATCCCCTTGAGGAGGAAATGGAAACCCACTCCAGCATTCTTGCCTGGAAAATTCTACAGGCAAAGAAGCCTGGTGGACTACAGTCCATGGAGCTGCAAAGAGTTATGGACACAACTGAGCACACACAAGTGGAAAAAAGTGAACTAAGCTATATGAATCAAATTAAGTAGCCATTTAAATATATTTATGAATATATTTTATATATATATATATGAATATATGCTTAAAATCATGGGGATATGGTTCAAGTAGTGTCAAATGGACACATCAGGCACAAATACTAATATTAACAACTATATTAAATCTATACACCTTCAAATTTTACATTGAATTCTACATACCGAAGAGTCAGTTTTGCTGTCTGTCATGGTGATTTTCCAATTTTTCTGCCTAAATTTCAACATAGACAAATACTTACCTGACTTATAGAACTGGAAAGATGGATTGCCTGCATCTATAGCAGCAGAGATGGGGCCCAAAGTTGCCACTGCCTTCATAAGAGCCTTCTCCTGCTTAGGGAGGTCCATGAAACCAGTTTCATTAGCAGCAGAATTTTTGGGATTGTAATGGCAGGTGCCAACCTTTCAAAGGTAATGGGGAAGAGACTTGATTAATACCATCCTCCTCCTGGGGTACATGAGTTCAAGACAATCTGCAGCTTAATGATTTCCAAGTCAAGTGTGTTACAAAGCATCCCAGGAAATGAAATGCTATTGGCTGTTTTGAAATGGAAAAATTAGCTTGTGTCTATTCGATCAGACTCTCTCAATCTACATGCCCATAAGAAACTTTTACTCAGGAGAAATTTGTACTTATAGAGGATGACATGTATATTTCCCCGGTGCCTCAGCAGTAAATAATCCACCTTTACTCCTACAAGGCAGGAGACATGGAGACGGGGGTTTGATCCCTGGGTCGGGAAGATCCCCTGGAGGAGGAAATGGCAACCCACTCCAGTAATCTTGCCCAGTAAATCCCACAGACAAAGGAGCCTGGCAGGCTACAGTCTATGGGGTTGCAAAAGAGTCAGATACAACTGAGTGACTAAACAACAACAACAAATGTATTATTTCCACATACCATAGAAATATTAACAGCTTTATGGTAACTCTCTAGGCTTCCCAAGTGGCACTAGTGGTAAAGAACCTGACTGCCAATACAGGTGACATAAAAGATGCAGGTTCGATCCCTGGGTCAGGAAGATCCTCTGGAGGAGGACATGGCAACCCACTTCAGTAATCTTGCCTGGAGAATTCCATGGACAGAGAAGCCTGGTGGGCTACAGTCCAGAAGGTTGCACAGAGTTGGATATGATTGAAGCGACAGCATGAACACATGGTAAGTAGCTAAACAGAGAACTGTGCAAAGCTAACTATTTTAATGACAGTTCTGACAGTCTGCACATAAAGATTCTACAATCTAAAATGTGGATTCTAAACATGATATCTGTTTTCCCCTTTGTTCAACTTTGATAACAAGGAGCTCCTCTTACCAATCCAGTGTATGGGTAGGATTCCTCTGAGTCCAGGCCTCCAACGTCCAAAACATACTGGAAGGCATTATCTGTGAGGCCGCCTTGACAACCGTGATTACCTTCAGGCTGAGAGCAGTCCACCAGGTTCTGCTCACTCAGTGAAACAAGTTTGCCAGTTTTTCGGAACATCTGTCCTTCAAGGGCACCCGTGGCACTAAAAGCCCAACAAGAACCACACTTACCCTGAAAACAAAATTTAAAAGCATAATTTACAAAACAAATAACAAGACTTTGACAGTAGCCCATATATTTGGAAATGCTTTTAAAACCTAGTGAATTGCATGTTGTTGCACAGTGTATCAGAGCAAGGATGGCAACTCCTATTCGGCTTTACTCTTGGAGAGAGATCTGCTGAATACCATCATACCTGATTCTTCACAGGAGTTACATAGCCTTTCTCTCTCCAATCCACGGACGGGGGAATCGAAGCAAAGATAGTTTCTTGCAACACTTTCCCCTTCTTGTTCTTCTGCCTTTGAAAGCCATTCATCACCTGCCTGAATTCTTCATTGGTCTTCAAGGAAAAGGAAATAGAATGTTGAAAAGCAAAAGGTTATTTTGCTAAACTGTTAAGGAGAAGGCACAAAAAATTCATGCCACACTCACCATGTCACCAAAGGCATTCATCGCCATGCTGAAGCTATATTTCCCTTGGCTGTATTCCTGATTATGCAGTTCAATCATTTTCATATTCTTCTTCCACACCGTTTTTCTCCATCCTTCTTCATTCTAGAGGCAAACAGGTAACCTATACTCCTTTTTCTATTTAAAACCAACTCACCAAGGGCTTCACCAGGTGGTGTTAAGTGGTAAAGAATTCCCGTGCCAAGGCAGGAGATGCAAGAAACACAGATTCAATCCCTGCATTGGGAAGATCCCCTGGAGGAGGGTATGGCAACCCACTCCAGTATTCTTGCCTGGAGAATCCCATGGACAGAAAAGCCTGGTCACAGAGTTGGACACGACTGAAGGAACAGCACACACCGTCACCAAGTGGATTGTATATAAAGAGGAAGGGAGACCATGGCCAGAGATGGCTCTATACTCTTGGGAGCTGTTCTCCAGCGCCCACATGACAGGGCAGATGCCCATAGTGTATTCAGTGACAGGTGCCATGAAGTTACTGCCCTGATAGGAACCAGCCTCAAGAGACTACTATCTGCTATAAACTCCCAACAGCATGGACCATTCTCTGCAGAGTTTCAGATGGACAGTTTCATATGTTACCAACCAAGTCATACAGTCTCCTGTGTTCTGCCTTCCACAATTTCCATTGTGTATTTAAACTGTGGTCAAATTCTGGAGCAGCTGAAGCTATTCCCAAGCAAAGGGCTGTCAGCAGGAGTGAAGGATTCATGTTCAAAAACCTAGGAAGGGAGAAGAAATGAGTATCTGATTAAACCAATCTTTCTAAAAGTCCATCTTTTTTTTCGGAGCCACTATGCTGGAGTAAAAACACTTATATCCCCAAATATTTATAGAAGGACAGTAGGGGAAGTCTATGGCTGTGGGTGGAGAAAAAGAGCTCTGAGACCCCAGTTTCCGCGCGGGTCAGGCTCTTCAGGACGAGCCACCCTCGCGCTGCAGGCGGGCCCAGCCCGGGGAGGGCCCAGCGAAATCCCTCCGCTGACAGAGTATGTAGACGCGGTGCCGACAAACGTTCTGCAGTCCAGCTAGCGGGGGTCATGCTGCCTTGTCAGACCGGCGCCTCCTGGAAGCCCTCAAGCCCTCAACTCCCAAGGCTGCAGTCGCGCTGCTAGCCGGGGTGACCCCACCGCGCCATGTCCCAGCCCGTGGCTCTCACCTGTGGCGAGGTCTGCCGCACAGGCTCAGCCGGTGACTCCGGATCCCCTGGCGTCTTAGGCTGGGTTGTGGGCACCAAGACCTCCTATTTAAGGCTCCGAGACTGCGCTCGGCAGGCCCCGCCCCCCCCCCAGCACGCCCCGCGATTGGCTGAGCTTCATATAGGCGGGGCCTGTGCTGGGACTCCTGGCGCGTGACAAGGCTGGTCCCAAATTGTCCAGATGCCAGCCTCAGTGGACCCCACGGCAGCGAGCTGGGGGCCACTGGGCAGAACTGAGAAGGGCGGCCGGCGCCTCCCTGGGGACCCGGATCAACTAATTATCTCTAATTCATGCGCTTGGTCGGTGGTTCACGAAAAGAGGCTTGCAGGGGGTCCCAAGAGGATTTTTAGCGCAACCCTGTGCCTCCTTCCCTAGGGTTTTGTTTTGTTTTGTTTTGTTTTCATTTATTTTTATTAGTTGGAGGCTAATTACTTTACATCATTGCAGTGGTTTTTGTCATACATGAAATGAATTAGCCATGGATTTACATGTATTCCCCATCCTGGTCAAGTCCTAATCCTAGAGTTCTTGGTGAAAGTCTTCGGGAGGACTGAGAACTGTCTCGTCCGGGGGCTCCCGCTTATTCCGCAGCGAAGATGGGGCAGGCTGGAGGAATGCAAAGCCCGCAAGCCGCCCTCCAGGATTAAGCGTGGTACAAGATGGGTTTGAGGAGCGGAATCGCAGTTCCTCAGAGACCCTGGCGCCTGGTCACTGCCCAAATCCCAGGAAGGCAAAGGGCTGGGAGGGTCTCCAGAGAAGAGGTGGTATTTTGTAATACCCTTCTCCTGTCTTCCCCATTTAGGGGTTCTTCTTGTCTCTCAAGTTTTCCTCAAAACCAACAGAAACGAGTTGTTTACAGAAAATTTTAGTTTAATTAAGAAAAAAGGAAAAATGGCAGGTAATAACTGGTTTTACTTTCCTGCTCTTCTTCCTTAGTATCTAGGTCCTTTTCTCGAGATTTAAGAAATTTAAGATTTAAGGAAAGAAATTTAAGATTTAAGAAAAGGTACTTTTCTGGAGATTTAAGAATTGTGACTTTTACTTCAGTGATTTCTACTTTAATTTACATTGACTGTCAGGATTTAAGTGACAGCGAAACGTTTTAAATGGAGGAAAATAGGTTTATATGTTAAATACAAATTTACATAACTAAGAACTTAGGGAACACAAGTCAAACTTTGTGCATGTTTGTCCTTTACTACATAAAAACATATTCATTATAGAAAATCCCTTTTAGAAACAAATGATCATTAACCTCACGTCCGGTCCCACATTACTTTTTTTCTGAGCATATTTTGAATCGTTTAAATTAAAATGTAGTCATGATTCACTGGACTTCTAAACTAATTTGTACTTAAGATTAAATTGATAAGCATTTTAGAAGCACAATCAGACATGTAATTTTACTATATTGATATGTACATAACATAAAAATGTTTATTTAAGTGTACAGTTCTGTGGCATTAAGTACATTCACATTGTTGTGCAACCGTAACCATCACCCATCTTTGGAACATTTTCATCTTCCGAAACAGAAACTCTGTACCATGAAACAATAACACTGCATTTCTCCCTGCCTGCTGCCCAGCCCCCACCCCAGAAGCCTTTGGCAACCACTATGGAATCATGTAATATTTGTCATCTTACGCTTATTTCACTTAAAATAATGTCTTAGAGGTTTATTCATGTTGTAGTGTGTGTCAGAATTTCTCTTTTTTCTGAAGGTGACTAAAATACCCTTGGACAAATGTTTTGTTTCTCCAGGCATCCCCAGATGACTATATGGGTTATTTCCAGATTTGACTATGTTAAATGACGCTACTGTCAATGTTGTTGTATAAATGTTCATGTTTCTGTTTTCAGTTTTTTAGGGGATCTACCCAGAAGTGGAATTGCTGGATATGGTAATTCTATGTTTAATTTTTTTCTCTGTTTTCCACTGTGTCTGCATCATTTTACCAGCGTTGCACAGGTTCCAATCTGATTGTGATTTGCAAATATTTTCTTAAATTCTGTGAGTTGCCTTTTCATAAAATCAGTACTGTCCTTTGGTGCACCAAAGTTTTAACTTTTGATGAAATCCAGTTTACCTATTTTTTCTTTGGTTGCTTATTCTTTTGGTATCATATAAAAAAAAATTATTACTAAGCCCAGTATCGTGAGACTGTTTACTTGTGTTTTCGTCTAAAGTTTTGTAGTTTTAGTTCTTATGTTTGGGTCTTTATCCATTTTGTGTTAACTTTTGCATATGGTATAGTTAAGGATCCAATTTCATTCTTTTGCATGTGGATACCTGACTTTCTCAGCATTATTTGTTTAAGACTATCCTCTCTCTATTGAATGGTCCTGGCAACCCCATACAATTTAGAAAAATCAATTCTTTTAAAGTTTTAAGATCTTTGAGGAAATAGAAGCTTTCCTCTCTCAGACATAGCTAGAGGCCAAAGGTGGTTACAAAGTATTGGAAATGACTGGAGGTTAAAATTTTTTAAAAATATACCATGGAGTTCAACAGTCATTCATTTAAGAAATCTAAGTGCATCGTCTAATATATGGGTTTTACATTTGCCCTTGGGTCACAGAGTGGAAAAACCCTACCACTGCATGATGTCTATACCTGGGGCAGCCTAAAGACTGCCTGCCTAGCCTGCCTGGAGGCTGCTCCAAGGAATGGCAGCTCCTTTGTTTCTTGGAATGTGATATAAATGCCCTGGAGAAAGCTGGACTTTTAAAAATTCCAAATGTGCCTCAAATCTAAAATTAGGCTAAGAAATATCTAAATGCCAGAGAAATGTGGGAGAAGGTCATTTAAGCAAGAAACTGTAACATCTATTTATACAAAATCTGTTAAGTAATGTTTTACAGAAAGGCGCTAGCCATTTTGTTCTTATTCCTACTCTTCTCTGCCATTTCTTTGCCAAATAACTTCAGTTCAGTTCAGTCGCTCAGTCGTGTCCAACTCTTTGCGACTCCATGAGCTGCAGCATGCCAGGCCTCCCTGTCCAACATCAACTCCCAGAGTTTACCCAAACTCATGTCCATTGAGTCGGTAATGCCATTCGACCATCTCATCCTCTGTCGTCCCCTTCTCCTCCCGCCTTCAATCTTTCCCAGCATCAGGGTCTTTTCAAATGAGTCAGTTCTTCACATCAGGTGGCCCAAAGTATTGGAGTTTCAGCTTCAACATCTGTCCTTCCAATGAACACCCAGGACTGATCTCCTTTAGGGTGGACTGGTTGGATCTTCTTGCTGTCCAAGGGACTCTCAAGAGTCTTCTCCAACACCACAGTTCAAAAGCATCAATTCTTTTGCACTCAGCCCTCTTTATAGTCCAACTCTCACATCCATACATAACTACTGGAAAAACCATAGCCTTAACTAGATGGACTTAGAGAAATGCTAATTATTAAAATAGTCATATTTTAGCTAAGTGGATCAATCCTTTGCTCTGCCTTTGATAAAATGCAGTTGGTAGATTCCTACTTAAAATGCAGTATCTCTGAGAACATATTTTTGTGTGCATCTGTCTAGATTTCTTTTGCTTGCTGGGGAAACAGGATATGATTCTTTACCCTGTGTCTGAAAGTTTTAAATCCTAGGGCAATGAAAAAATCTTGTATGGTAGTGTTCAAAACCCTGAGGCCACTTAACAACTATCCCCAATATAACAACCCACTCCAAGTTGATTAAATTTAATGAGCCAAGAATTACTCTTAAGAAACATTATCCAGGCAACTGTCCATTTGTAAAGTGGTTTATTATCACTTGGGTTTCCCTGGTGGCTCAGTGGTAAAGAATCCACCTGCCGATACAGGAGACGCAGGTTCAGTGCCTGAGCTGGAAAGATCCCCTGGAGAAGGAAATGGCAACCCATCCAGTATACTTGCCTGGGAAATCCCATGGACAGAGGAGCCTGGCGGGCTATAGTCCATGGGGTCACAAGAGTCGGGTGTGACTTAGTGACTAAACAACAGCAACAACAACAATTTATTATCACTTATAATTTTATGGACAAGAACTGTTTATAATCACAGGCTGTTGATATTCGTATGAAGCCATTTATGAAACACGTTACTTTTCTGAGCTACTCTAACATTGCTTTTCCTGTAGGATTAAACAGTGAGCCAATTCATTAAGTCAGTCAACAAGAATTAGTTAAGCTCTGCCCTTGTGTTTACTGTTCTTTGCTTGGTGTAGCTTGAGCATAAAATTGTAACAGTTTTCTCAGGTGTAGCCTGTTCAAGGAAAAACACCCTCCTGGAAGCTGACTGGGGTGGGAAGAGGTCCAGCCCATTTCAGGCAGCATGCCTTCTGCGTGGCTTACCTGTCTTTTCCTCCTTTCACATGACAGCAGGTAAGCCAGCATCAGCGCTAAATTCCAGAGCCTGGCCCTGGGGAGCTGTGGATCCTTATCTCACATTTTCCTCAAGCTCTCTGGCAACCAGAGTCCAATTTACCGAGTGACTGATGGGGGCTGCGGGTGCGGGACAAAAGCAAAGTCTCCGAAGTTCAG